CCCAATGCCACTGGAATGAACAGGCAGGGGAATACAGTCTTGAATTTCAAAACAACTGTGGGCTGGATAATTCAAATTGTTTCATCCATATAAGGATAACAACTACTGGCCACATTGTATTGGGGCTTTAATATAACAGTTCCAGATTCCTCCTGTTCAGATGAGATAAGCACCAAGGTCCTGCTTCTTGTCTCCCATGTAACTGAGGTACATGATTCAAGAGTCTGTGAGACCTATTTTCCCCTGAAGCCCACAGCCACTGACATGTGACCGGTCCAGGCTTTCTTTCTCCTGTGGGTACAGAGGCTGCTGCACTTGCGAGCCATCACTGGACTCGGTGTTCAGGCTCCTTGACAACTATAGCTGTGAGTCTGTCACATGGCTCTCTCCTCCCTCTGTCTCCACCAAACTCCAAACTGGAAGCATTGCTACCATGGATGAGATGCTTTATGGTTGGACTAGAGGCTCAATGCATGAAATTCATGCAAGAATAGGCCTTTCTTCCCCCAGCTACTGGTGCCAGCTTCCCTCAGGCCACTGGCAGACACCCAGGGCCCAGGCTTCCCTCCCAGCCCCGGCACTGTCTGGAAGGTCGTCCAGTCTAATTAGCATGTTATGCTTTTATTATTATAGATGATAAAAGGTTACAAGAATACATTCTGTGTATCAGAGGCAAAGTGGACATTGTACCTCATGATCCAAGTCTCCTCTGATTGGCTCAATATAGCTCCATCTCACTTCTTAGCCCTCAGGCAGGCCATTTCTCAAAAGAAGGCTTAAATAACAAACAACATTTCCTCCTGACACTGCTTCTCTGCTTTTCATTGTCTTTCTTCTTCACTCAAGCCAGTGATCTGAATGCCTGAAACTTTAGTTCCCAAGAGTTCCACTTAGCTAGAGGTAAAACTTTCCTTAAGTCCTTGTTATAATGCAAATATGTGACATGAAAGGGTACCTGTTTAATCCATTACCCCACTGATAGGAGCTAGTTTACCATATTAGTTAAATTAAAACAACCTGGGGAAATTAAATAATGTATGGATTGTTTAATAAGTGAAAGGGGGGGGGTACTTACTGAGTCCCTATTTACCCCCTGCATAACACATTAGCACTGGCTAAGGCCACCTGGGAGGGAAGGAGGGTGCCACAAAGATCCCTCAGAGACAATTCCTGGGGTACAGAGGGGAGCACCAAGACAACTCCACACAGCCAGCCAAAGAAGGCGGGAACCTCAGGGCTGACCTGTGCATTGTCACACTGTCCTCTGGTGCTGAGAACCACGTGGGTTCTGTCAGAGGAAAGTAGGTATGCACTTTCCACCAAAGGGGGAGAGTAAACAGGTTTCATGCAGTCATGGGACACTGGGACATTTGCCGACTGGGCTATTGGACAGATTGCTTTTTGTAACCCTTTTATGTTTAGAAAAAATAACATGTATCCTTCACTTCACGAGTCTGCCATGCACCCTTGTTTTCTTGGACATCCCTTGATTCAACTTGGCTTCTTCCTCAAACTCCTCCAAAGACATTTTCTCCTCATTATAGGAATTTCCAAATCCTCTGTCTTCATTTAGGGGATTATTTTTGATGCTATCACTGACTGATGTTTTTAATATGAGAATGTTATTTAAAGTCCTACTTATCATTTAGTCCTATTTATACTTAGTACTAGGGGACCAGTGCATGAAATTCATGTACTGAGGTGTGTGTGTGTCTGTGTGTGTGTCTCTCAGCCCAGCCTGCATCCTCTCCAATCTGGGACATTCGTCTCACAATCCACAACTTCTGGCTCCCAACTGCTCGCCTCACTGCCTGATTGCCCCTAACTGCTTCTGCCTGCCTGCCTGATCAACTCCTAACCACTCCCCTGCCAGCCTGATTGACGTCTAACTGCTCCCCTGCCAGCCCATTGCCCATAATTGCTCAACCCTGCTGGCCTGGTCACCCCTAACTGCCCTCCCCTCCAGGCCTGGTCACCCTCAACTGCCCTTCCTTGCCAGCCTGGTCACCCCAATTACCCTCCCTGCCAGCCCATCTGCCCCTATCTGCTCTCACCTTCTGGCCTAAGTCACTCCTAATTGCCCTTCCCTGCAGGCCTAGTCACCCCCAACTGCCCTCCCCTGAAGGCCGGGCCCCTCCCAACTCCCCTTCCCTGCTGGCCTGATTGCCCACAACTGCCCTTCCTTGCTCGCCATCTTGTGGCGGCCATCTTGTGTGTTGGAGTAATCGTCAATTTGCATATTACCACTTTATTATATAGGATAACATATGGTCTTATAATAGTTAACTACCCAGAAAGCAATTAGAAATATGTTGGTTGTGACCATTTGTGTTAATGCTTCTACTAGACTAGGCTAGTCACTTACTTGTTTCTTATTAATATGGAATTCTTGACATTTATTAGGGTGGTTTAAAAAAAATCTCATTGTATTATATAAGTTATTTTATAAATTTTGAATTTTAATATAGAGCAGGTTTAATTAGCAATATCTTGCCTTAGAATCAACTAATAAAATTTTATTAACATGATTGTTCTTGAATGAGAGAAATGCAAACATTCAGATCCACACATTTCCTGATTGTTCTTTGTCAAAGACATTAGCTGATACTTGGTTAGAGGAAGAACATGTTTAGATTTGCTTAGTTGCTATGATTGGAAATATTCTATGATTACAAAATATTGTGAGGACATGTGGCAACACTTCATCCAGAGAAAATAAAGACATTGGGATTATCAGAGTGCTAAAAAGTATCTTCTCAGTCCTTCTTGTGGAATAAAGATAAATAACCACTGGACATGTAGAGTCTCATTCAGCCTTGAAATGGGTGAACTTTTTTAAAGGTCTGTGACGATCTTATTGATTGGTTAACCCAGCAGCCATTCTCAATGTCATTCGTCCTACTACCTCATGCCACAGAGTGTAGAAAGCAACGTTCTTTCCCACCATCCTATGCTGGGTTCTCATCAGTGACATGTAAGGTGGTGTCATGGGAGTGGTTTCTGGAGGAGTTTTTACTCTTCCTTATACTCTGTGCCTTGAATGTGGATAGGGTGGCAGAAATCAACCTACAATCAGGCAACATGCATGAGGACTGAACGCCAGGGCTTTGATAACATTGTTAAGCGGCTGTACCTCCTTTGTGCCTTCCTCCACACTTTTAATTAAATAAGATGATTAAATGACTTTATTACTGTAATAGTGACTAGTTTTGTTGTTGTTATTTGCAGTCATAGCAGTTTATTAACATAGTCCTCCCCCAGCTTAAGGTGCATCTACACTTATGTGAAGACCAAGCCAGCAATCAGAAATGGGATGAAATTTATGTCCATGAGAGGAATCTGAAGCAGCTTGTGCCAAAGCACGTTAGGCGGGATGGAGGTGTGCACGTGGATTACACAGAATGTGTGACCACTGAACACTTGGAATGTGGCTGGTGCAATTCAAGAAGTAAAGCTTTAATTTTATGTAGTTTTAATTAATTTAAATTGAAATGGAAATAGTTACATGTAGCTACCAGATATAGGGCTGAATAGCACAGATCAAAAGAATGGCTAGACTAATGAAAAAACAAACCAACAAACAAAAAAACCACTGAGATCATGCAGGTCTCTGGGAGAAAATTCAGCCTTTAAGTTTATGTATGTTGTCTTCCAGGCCTAAGAACACTGCGTTATGGAGAAATGATGACTCATGGGGGCTTTTCACAGCATAGTGTTTGAAGGCTGTTAAACAATATTTAACTTGCTTATTAGCTAACTATGCAGAACTGATACCAATTTAAGCATTTTACATTGACAACTACAATAAAGGCTGTCTTTCTGGAATAATAATCTTATTGAGACTACGCTCATTCAGCTGTTTGTCAAGTCTTTTGTATTCCCAATTACAAATGAAAAGAATAATAATGGTGTGCCCGTCTCATTAAGCTGTGGGAGCATAATAACTCTCTGAGATAAACTGTAAATTACAGTTTGCGAAGACTGCTGGATAGACTAGAAAATCAGCCGGAAAGGGAAGCAATGTGGTGCTAAGAGCAGTGAGATGCTGAGAATTGGCAGCTGAAGGTCCTCCCTTGAAAAGGCAAGAGTGGCAGACACTGACCATGCCAGAACCCAGAAATCCATGGGGCTCTCATGCCCTATGACAGGGGATTCAAGACTGTCTGTCACACCCCAAAATGATTTGCAGAAACGATGTCATCATGCCTTTGTGACTTACATACAGTAAACAGCATGCTTGCATTTATAGCCTTTTAGAGCCCGAGGAAGAACTAATTCTGCAAGTGTGCCTGGTGGCCCAGAGCTGTTAAAGTTATCACTACACCTATCTCCTGGCAAGGATCTGTCACAGACAGCTTCTCTATCACAGTTACTTCTGCCTGCTGAAAACAGGTCAGCAAAGTTCCTGTGGCTGTGAACCTGAGTTCCTTCAAGCTAGGATTATGCATACTTTTAAGAAATAGCTGACAAGCCAAAATTCGGAGACAAGACAATCTATAAACAGGGTTCTAGCAGACATAATAAAGATAATGAGTTGAAAACTTTGGCAAGCCATATGTACTTAATCTCTTTGATTAGTTGGTGTAACAATTATGCAATTTAAAAAGCATTCAACTCAAGAAAGCCGGCACTCCACCCACATTTCTAACAGAGTAGTTGAACAAACTAGAGAAACTGGATCAATTTCAAGTTAATTTTTTTTTTTCTCAGAGAACTATTATTTATACTCAGTATTATGCCACGTTGTATTGACAAGTACTTCTCATCCGTTTGCTTTGCAATTCCTTTACAAACACCTATGTTTCTTCATAAGTTCTGCTTTGATCCACTTATTTTATAGTAGCTTCCAATGTCTAAGAAGATGAAGGTTACCATGTGTGAGAGGTCAAGACTCACTCTTGATTGTGAAGGCATAGACATGGTCTGTGGAAACACATCTTCTGAAAGATCTCATGAAGAAAATATCTCGGCTAATGATGTATCAAGACATAAATTCTTACCTATGATGTGGCTCTGAAATGCAGAATCTACAACTGTATCTTCTTCATCCTCTTTCAGGTTTTCAGTTGTCTCTTTTACCTGCAGCAACAAAAAATTCACTCTAAGTTCTATTTTTTATGTTAAGTAGATCCTCTGCCAACCCATCCTCAGAATAAAGCCAGAATATCTAACATGTGAGTATGTTTTATACACACACACACACACACACACACACACACTGAGTGGCCAGATTATTATTATCTCTGTACACATAATAAGGCCCAGTGCATGAATTCCTGTATGGGTGGGTCCAGCCAGCCTAGCCAGGGGAAGGGGACATTGGTGGTTGGCCAGCCTGCTTGCTGGTCGAACTCCTGGTCAAGGGGACAATTTGCATATTAGCCTTTTATTATATAGGATATACAATGAGTGGCCAGATTATTATGCGTTCAGAGATCATAATAATCTGGCCACTCAGTGTATGTATATGTGTGTGTGTATCGGAGGCCCAATGCACTAAATTCATGCAAGAGTAGGCCTTCCTTCAGCTTCCAGCTCCTGCTTCCCTCTGGCACCCAGAACCCAGGCTTCCCTCTGGCACTTGGCACCTGGGCTTCTGTAACAGCCCTGGCTTTGTATGGTAGGTCGTCTGGAAGGATGTCCTGAAGGACATCTGGTCTACTTAGCATATTATGCTTTTATTATTATAGGTATTATATATATTCTTTCCCTTCCACTTTTCCCTTTTCTATCACTTGGGTTTATTACTAATACAAGTTTTAATTATAAGAGCATATTTTCCAAAATATAACCACAGCTCTGAAAATGAGGATTTATAGGGCACCTAATTCTACATAAGACTTTGGAGATACCAGCTTTGGTTTTTAATACTTAATAAAGTCAGTAACACAGAGCTGTAAGGAAAAATTAAAGTCTAAGGAAATATAATATTCCTCCAGAGTCAGTGACTTCCACTACAAATTTTAATAAGAGTAAAGAAATATACTTAGATAACCTGACCCTTTCCAAGACTATAACTCCCTAAGAAAATGATATATTTTTTTGTTCTTTCCACAATGAAAGATGAAGTGACTATGACATGTGGTCAGTGAACTAGAGCAGCGAGGCATTTATTTAGTGTTCCCAGGTCAAAAACATTTCCCTTCTATTTGTGCTGGAATATCCAGATGCTGAATGGCATGGGATCAGATGGAACTCTACAGAGTGTCTACTAACACTACAATCTTTTACAACTGAGGATTCTGAGATCTAGCATGTTTCCTTAAACATGTTTTAAAAAAAATATATTTTATTGATTTTTCACAGAGAGGAAGGGAGAGGAACAAAGAGCCAAAAACATTGATGAGAGAGAAACATCGATCAGCTGCCTCCTGCACTGCCCCCACTGGGGATGTGCCTGCAACCAAAGTACACGCCCTTGACCGGAATCGAACCTGGGACTTTTCAGTCTGCAAGCTGATGCTCTATCCACTGAGCCAAACCATTTTCAGCTCTTAAACATGTTTTAAGTGGCAACACTGGAATTAAAACCCAGGCCAATTACTTCCCAATCTAGCAGCACCAGTAATAAAATCATCTATAACACCAACGAAAATACGAACAGCGAACTACTGAACACTCTGCAGCAGGTGCTCTTCACACCCACGGTCTCACAGGCCTCACAGCAACAGGAGGAGGCGGTGCTACTGTTAGTTCCATTTCAGAGATAAGGACCTTGAAGAAACACACTGAATGAGTGACTGCACAAGTAATGGGACTGAGATTCAAACACAGCAACTCCGGCTTGAGATCATTGTTTATTTGGGGGTTCTGTTCTATTCTCAAATTTCTGTTTGAGTATAGACTTGGACTTAGTGTCAAGACAGCTTATGGTCTTTGGCAGAATGACCCGAAATAGCATTTTTAAAAATACAGCCCAGCCAGTCACCTGGGAAGCCAGTAATAACAACAGGAACTGTGCAATGAGGGTGATTTGGGTTCTGCTCCTGCACATATAAGAGGGTGCTGGTAGATTTGCTCAGGGGCTCGAGCTGAATGCCAAGAAACCCTTAAAGTTATATTCATGATGTGGAAAGTCCTATGGTTGCATCCTGACCTTGAGCTGAGTTTAGCTTTCTACTTTTTACCTCCAATTTTTCATATTTAATGCGGTAAGAACAATTATTTACATTTTATGACCACAGTTTTAATGTTAGAATATAATTGGTGCTTAATCTGGGCATGCTGGCAGCCAGAAAATGGCAAACTCAAGAGGGTGTGGATTGTCACTTGAACTGCACCAGCAGAGCTGTTAGGGTGGAATATCCAGCGGCCAGGTTTCCTCACTTTCTTTCCCATCCTGACCGCTCTGTAGGGACTTCCCTGGGTGTTAGCATCTACAGAGGAAGAATGTGGGGTAACTGGCTTCCTCCATAGCTGTTTCTAGCAGAGCACATTCAGGGATGGAAGAGAGGAAAAGTGCTCTGAGCATTCCTGAGGCCAATAGGTTACTTATTTGCCTTCTGAGGTTCACCAAGCTTCTGATCCTTTTGTGACATAGCCACCACAAGACCCACTGAAGGAGTCCCCAAACACCATAATTAACAATCCAACAAGAACCATCTACCTTTATTTATAGAAACAGCAAGGAAATCAGTATTTTCAGCACATACCAGTTCTTATGGCAATATGCTCCATGTTTTCCTCCACCTGGTATGTCATGTTCCTTTAGGTGTTTCTAAAGTGACCCATTTTAAACTTAGAGGGGTGCCCTGCTAACTTAGCTGATATGTTGTAGGTGATTCATCTCCATCAGCCTGTAATATTCTACACCAAAGAATCTAATAATTAGGAGAAGATCCTCATTTTATAGATTAAAAAAAGGCTAGGAGAGGGCTAGGGATCTGTTTCAGGGCACATAGGATTTCAGTTTTATTTTTTATTTATTTTTTAAATATATTTTATTGATTTTTTACAGAGAGGAAGGGAGAGAAATAGAGAGCTAGAAACGTCGATGAGAGAGAAACATCGACCAGCTGCCTCCTGCACACCCTTTACCGGGGATATGTCCACAACCAATGTACATGCCCTTGACTGGAATCGAACCCAGGACCTTTCAGTCCGCAGACCGATGCTCTACCACTGAGCCAAACAGGCTTCGGCAGGATCTCAGTTTTAGTGTGAGCACTCCTTATCCCTGTTCATTGCTGTAACTCAATTTTTCAGTATGCACCATATGGTATTGCCATCCTTTCCAGATCTCCCCAAGAGTTATTATGTTTTTCTTAGTGTCTGGCAGTTAGACACTAAGAAAAACATAAGCAGCATTCCAGGTACACATAAACCACACTTATTTAAGAGTAGCAAAAATTTCCATGAGTGTGTGGTGTGTGTGTGTGTGTATGTGTGTGACTGCCCTGCTTTCCTTCCCTACTGACCTTTTTGTGGAACTTACCCATCATCTCTCTCCAAGCACCATATTTGAGAAAGAAAACAAAAGCCACCTGTCAGCTCCTTGTCAGAACCTTCCAGGACTTTATGTGCTTACCAGCTAATGCTAAATGTGGTCTGTGGGGATTTATCAGGGAACTGGGCTTGCAGACAAGGCCCCTACCTCTTTCAGCTCTCCTGGACTAATGACCCATGAGGTGCAGATGACCCCTGACAAGCAATTTTGACTTTGAATCTGATAGACAGAGAACTGACAAAGAAATGTAAAATGGGGGTGTGTCTTAGAATGGCATACCTGTCAACTCTATCCATAACATAGATTTCAATGCCAAGTGGTGAGTGACTAGACAATTCCGTTTACCTATGGCAATGAGGGGCATAATCTGTGTTGGCAGCAGACTCCCCTTGTTAATTACACTTTTTTCATAGCCAGAAATTAACATAAACTTTCACTCATGGTCACGCAGTGCTGGATGGTGATGAGAGGTTGTGGGCAGCTTTCTGAGGGTAAGGGACTGCCCGCTCCAGATTCACAGTTTTCCAGAGACAGGCACAAAAGGCACAACTCCACAGGGCGAGGCATTGCAAAGATGGGAGTGACCACAGAACCAAGTTGTTCGGCTCAGAAAAGAATGGTAGCTGGTGATTTAGAATTTTCTCAGCTATTACTCTATCAGGAACAGATATAAATTGGTAATGTCCCATTTGGTGAAAAGTAGAAGGTGACTCATAGGCAATAACTGTGGGATATTTTTGGTTTAAGTTTGTTGTCAGCACGTGGGTATCTTCTAATAGTGTATTTTCAACTCTTTTGGGCTCAGTTGTAGTTAAGAACTGTACAAAGACCAGACTATAGCAGGTAACCATTAAGTACCAGGGAGCCCATTACAATGTGTTAATCCCCATCATTAGAAAGGCAAGGAGGAAGGTACTTACATGGGGAAAAGGAAGAAAATAATTCACCATTGACAAATACTCAAACATCGTTTCAGAATTAAACAACTGGGGATGGCCTTCTTTTGGAATTCTGCATATATTTCTTCTCTGAATCATCCTAACATTAAATTGTTTCATAAGAAAATGACATTTGGATGTTAAAGCTCTTTGTAAAGGCAAACAACACAATGAAGCTCAGTGAGACAGGAAGTGATCTTTGGAGGCAGAACTCCTGGAAGACATTGTCTTTAGAAAAGTTAGTCATTTAGCCAGGACTGGTTTGGCTCAGTGGATAGAGCGTCGGCTTGGGGACTGAAGGGCCCCGGGTTCGATTCCGGTCAAGGGCATGTACCTTGGTTGCGGGCATATCCCCAGAGGCAGCTGATTGATGACTCTCTCTCATTGATGTTTCTAACTCTCTATCTCTCTCCCTTCCTCTCTGTACAAAAATCAATAAAATATATTAAAAAAAAAAAGTTAGTCATTTAGACAACTTTGCAGGAGGAGGGCAAATACACATGCTTCTTATTGACATCAAAACAGCGTTTGGAACAGAACTGTTCCATTAAGTATGTTGAAATTATAACATTTTGCAGAAATTTTTATTATAATTTGTATAATTATTGTGCTATTTTATCACCACTGGACATTTTCATGGGATACATTTTGATGTTTTATTAGCAAGTGCTTTTTTTCAGACTATGTGACAGTAGGTGAAGAGAATACTCATAATTTAAATTAAAATACCCATATTAAATTGGCCATCTCTTTCCACTGCACATGAAGGTACTAGTATACTAGTATGGTCTCACTAATTTTGTTACCATTTTTGCTTTGACCACTGACAGCAAGGAGGCTGAAGCTCCCCTTCCTCTGAGACTTCTCCTTCAGAAAATTATCTAAATCTCCCGAAGGAAGGACCTACACCCTGTAGCCAGCAGTGTGCATTTCCTTCTGATTTATTTACTACTGCCGATGCCATCCTTCCCGGGGATGCCTTTTCCCCTCTTACAATGCTTTTATGTAATTTAACTAAAAGTACAAAGTGACATGGCTCCTGTCCAAATTACAGAGAAGTTGGAACTAAGTGGTCTGTGCTAGCATCAATGGGGACATAAGCCTGTAATGAAAGTTTCAAAAAGAGAAAATTTAATTCAGCAAAGCATGAATGGGAGTTTTACATGCTAGACCAGGGGTCGGCAAATTGCGGCTCTCCAGACACATGTGGCTCTTTGGCCCCTTGAGTATGGCTCTTCCACAAAATACCACATACTCTAATTAAGTTAATAACAATGTACCTACTTATATAATTTAAGTTTTTAAAATCTGGCTCTCAAAAGAAATTTTAATCGTTGTCCTGTTGATATTTGGTTCTGCTGACTAATAATTTTGCCGACCCCTGTGTTAGACTATATCTAGCAATCCTGAGAATGAACGTTCAGGTACTAGTGAAGTAAATGGAGGCTGGCTACATCCACGGATTTGCCATATGTATGGAAATAATCCTCTACTATTATCACCGTCAATTAAAATAATTACAATGCCTCCTTACTAAATACAACCTAATTTATAAATGGCAAGGGATGGTGGTATTATAAGGTTCTGAAACATTGGTTTTATTCAGAAAATAGTGTAATATGTAATGCATTATGTGCAGCTATTGTTTCCATCCAAAATAACTACAAGACGAATTCTTTGCAGCACACTTTAAAACCAGCAGATTAGCCAATTTACCTTGAGCCCTAGTGGGGGGAAGTTCCCTCAAACTCTGAGTTTTAAAAGGTCCATGGGTATTCACATCAATGTGCTGTGGTATTCGAATCCATCTTATTTTTACATCTAATCTCCTTTCTGTATAGGCTGATAACACAGAATAAACAGATTTCACTGCTATTCTTGTACTAGTCCCAAAGGAGACTATGGCAATGTCATTTCTGAAATTACTAATTTTAGCCCAAGTCACAATGATGGTTATGGAGAAGAAATGAAAAACGTTGCATTTAACACTTAAAAAAATGACCAGCTGGCCAACTATGCAGGTTAATAATATCCCTCTGTATGGGAAAGCTCCCAGCATGACAATTCGTCTTGCAGCTAACTAGAAAAATTAGCATGCCCCTATTGATTATGTATATTGGGGAGGGGTCAGGGAATCTTTGTACTGCACAGAAAATAATAAGACTGTTTCTCGCAGATATTCTGGAATGACCAAAGGATACTTATTACTACCCCATGAAAGGCTGCAGATGAGAGAGGACAAGCATGGCAAATCACTTCGGCATCAGGAAGCAATGAAAAAGCAAAAATGAAACCGTGAAAGCAAAACAGAGGGTCTTTGTGTTTTTCCAGGGACTTCTGTACAGCAAGTCTGTACCCTCTGCTGTCAGAACCGCATTAAACAGGGCACAGTTAAACTGAGTGTGCCTGATAAGAGGCTCTGCTGGCTATCACAGTTTTCCATCAGTTGGATTGAATTTCTGGCATATTGCACATTTCCCCACGTCCCATTCTCTCTCCTTCCTTACAGTGACACTACAAGGTCAGCCTCTGATATGCTTATAACTTGCGGTTTTATAATGCAGGGGGCGTCTACATTGTCAAAGAAGAAATGGTACCAAAAGAAGTCAAGAGCAAAAATGGAGAAAAACAGAAGGAAAAGGAAAAAAACACACAAAACACTTTGACAGAAAGCATAGTCTGCATATGATTCCAGAGTTTGAAAATAAAAGGCCTTGTATCGCTTTAGAGTCAGAGCTACTATGTGCATTTGCCTCAAATTACAGTATGTCAGTGAAATGCTAAGGAACCCTAAACATCAATTAATCATTAAACTAATAATAAATAACTAATAATGCCAATCATAGTTACTTCTAAAACCTCATCTATTTTTGAACTACTCTAGAAAAAAAATGTATAATTACTTCATATTTCAAGTTTTCCCTATGAAAATGAGAGCATGTATTATCCTTTAAAATCTCTTTTATAAGAGGATAAAAATATACGATACAATCAGTAATTACATGAAGAGATTTTTTTTTTGTTTTGTTTAAGTGCTTTAAAACTTATGGAACGAAAGAATGAACATCACAAATCAATTATTCAAGAAAAGAAATAATATAAGGACTGAAAGTGCAGCTTCCCTGGGAAAATGTAAAAATGTTTTTTTATTCTTTTCATCTTCACCCAAGGACATACTTTCATTGATTTTAGAGATAGAGGGAGGAGAAGAGAGAGAGAGAGAGAGAAGGAGAGAGAGAGAGAAACATTGATGAGAGATAAATGATGTGAGAAACATCAAACATTGATCGGTTGCACCCCCTCCAGGGCTGGAACCTGCAACCCAGGCATGTGCTCTGACTGGGAATAGAACCCACAACCTCTAAGGTACAGGACAACGCCCAGCCAACTGAGCCACACCCACCAGGGCTTCTTTTATTATTTTTAAAAAGGAAACGTCACCCTTTGCTCTGGACCTCTCAATTAAAAAACCAAGTGCTAGGAAGTCAAGATTCATAAAGAATATCTTAGTTTTAACACCTATTTGGGTAGAGTGAACTGAACACACCACTTCCAGAAAAATAAGAAATGCTTAAATCATATCGTCAAAATAGTCAATATTCTCTTCAATAGTTAGCACTTTTATTTTATTTATTTATTTATTTATTTATTTATTTATTTATTTATTTTAGTATATTTTATTGAGAGGAAAGGAGAGAGATAGAGAGCTAGAAACGTTGATGAGAGAGAAACATCGATAAGCTGCCTCTTGCATACCCCCTACCGGGGATGTGCCCGCAAACAATGTACATGCCCTTGACCGGAATTGAACCTGGGACCTTTCAGTCCACAGACCGACGCTCTACCACTGAGCCAAACCAGCTTCAGCAGCACTTTTATTTTTCACAATGATGTGCATTCCCTTTCTGTGTGACTGAAATGCTGGCAATAACCATCCCCACAGAGTCCCAGCACGGGGGTGCAATTTTAAGATGACACCGGCAGCCTCATTTGCCTGCGCTGTGATTACCAGCACTCTGAAAAGGGAGCTGACAGGGAGCCATCTCTCTGTTAGGGTTGCCACCAAGCTTTCTCTCTTTTGTTCTCTTCTGCTTGAACTTTCTCTTTACCCCATAATCTCTTTTTAAAAAATATTTTTTTATTGATTTTTTTTTACAGAGTGGAAGGGAGAAGGATAACATTGATGAGAGAGAGACATCAACTGCCTCCTGCACACCCCCACCGGGGACGTACCCACAACCAATGTACATGCCCTTGACCAGAATCAAACCTGGGACCCTTCAGTCCGCAAGCTGATGCTCTATCCAATGAGCCAAACCGGTTTCGGCTACCCTGTAGTCTCTGGCCCATATATTTTCATCAGCAAAGGGCAGGAAGAGCTCAACCAGCCTGTCATAGTGCCCAACAGATCAAACCAGGGATGGCGAGGCACTTACCAGGGAGCCCTTGGGCATGTCTGCCTCGGCTTTGGCTTTGAGGGTTTTCTTGTGGTTTCCTTGCGCGCTGCTGGAGCCACTGGTGAGACAGGAGCCCTGGGAGCTGCCCTTTATCACGCTCCGGCAGGAAACACTGCTTGATCCACTTTCTGTCTGTGGAGCTGCTCTCTTATCAACTCTGCAGGTAGAAAGGGATTCCTCTGATAAATGACATTGCTCTCCTTCAATCACTCTCCTCTTCCCAGTCCCTTAATGTTTAAAGTAACGGCCTTAGATGGCTCTGCCTTTAACCCTCCCAGTGAGAGTGCTTCCCCATGACCTTGGTCAGATCTTTACCTGATATTCCAGGCGTGTGTCACTTTAGATTTGACAATAGAATATTTTTTATGAGTTTGGGGGACAAAAAATAAAAACACTGTAAAGTGATTGCTAACTACATTCCTGGCTTAAGATGGGCAGGACATGTAATTTCCTCTGGAAGTTTCTAAGTATCCGTTTGCTGGGTACAATCAATGAGATTGGCATACTCTGCATAGTGCTTTAATTTGCTTCCATTTCATGCCATGTGGGTACATTCATGCTTCCTAGTGTAGGCTGAATTTCTTTCAACCTTGATAAAACTTACCATTCTTTAATTTCAAAGACCATTGGTTTGGTTAAAGTAACATGGACTAAATTATCACTTTATTGCTAACTTTTATTTCATTGTTTAAATTCTGGCTAATGTATAAAAGACTGTTATTATGTGCTCCTGCTTGTATGAAAGGCACGCTTGGCTGGCACTTGGTGTTCATTAAGCAAACAACTCTCCCTGTGTGTGGGGGAGGGGCCCTCCACATCCCCACCCGCTGGGCCCCCGCGTTTTACCTGCTCAAAAGCTCGGTCATAAAGGTGTCTTTTGTTGGACATGCAACAGGACTGGGTCTGTTTCTGGGTTCACACTTCCCTTGCTCGCAGATGTCTTGCGCTGCTTTCCGACTGCTTTTGCTGTGGAAGACAGCGTCTGGAGGACCCGGCAGCTCTGGGTCTCTGCGAGGCTCACTCTCCACCTCACTCTGCAGCTCAGGCTTCTTCTTGTCCTTCTTCCGCTCGGCTTTTAGCTGTTTGTGTCCGAAGCCCAGGCCTTTGGCGTCCTTCTTCTCCACTTTGGGTTTGGAGGCCTCCATCTTCCTGCTGCTGAGAGCGGGGAGGCGGCTCCTCCGAAAACCGAACCAGCTGGCGAAGGAAGGCCCGGGCCGCGGCTTGGCTTCCACAGACGCGGCCTTTGTCTGCACTTGGCCCTTCTCCACGTTCTCCTGAATGCACAACATGACCTTTTCTTCGATGGAGGGGGAGAGGGGGGCTTCTGGGCTCGCAGCGGCCGCAGTCCTGGTGATAGTAGGATCTGCATGCCTCCCAGAAGCTTCTAGCTTGGCGGCCCTGCTGGTTTCACAGCCGCTTGGGCGCTGGGTGCTCCCTGGGCTCTGCGGGGCCCGTGGGCATGGGTCATTGCCTGGCCCTTTAGGCTCAGCCACCCCCGGGCAGCCTCCCTGGATGCAGGCCTGCGGGTCTTGGGGGCCAGGTGTGGCCAGGAGCCCCTCTGGTGGCGGAGGGACCCGCAAAGGCAACCTGCTGGGGCTGCCCTGCTGGCTGCAGGCGCTGCCCGTGCTGCCCAGGGAGCCCTGCCTGGAGGGCGCCTGCGGGGGCCGCCCAGCGCCGCCAGGGAGACCCTCGAGGGTGGGGGCGGCCGAGGTCTTGCTGGGGGAGCCCTCAGAGGAGCTCTGCCTGGTGAGGGAGCTGCCTCTCTCCGCTGTGTTGGTGATGATCTGAGTTCGGACCCTGCCTGGCCCTTCCGTGGGCGGCTTGTCCCCCGCGTGGGCGCTGAAGCTCTGGCTACGGGCCTTCGCCCCATTCATGCCCAGGGCCGGCTTCGGGTGCGGCTTGCTGGAGGAGAGGGATCTCTTCACGTACCTGCTGTCCGCCCCGTCCTTTCCAGGGGCCCCGGGGGCGAGGTTTTCCAGTGTCTCTGGCGTGGCCGCTTCCAGGGGCAGCCCCCCGGCCAGGGCCAGGCCCTCCGGGGCCCCGAAACCCAGCGGGGGGCTGTGTCCCGCGCCCGCGGCGGCCTCAGGGCCCACGGGGCTCCCCGAGCGCGCCGGCCGCGGCTTGCTGGCGGCCGCGGAGCTCCGGGAGGCCTCGTTGAGGCTGTCTTTCTCCTGCTTCCCGGGCACCGTGGAGCTCCTCCTGGGCGGCTGCGGGGACCTCAGGAGGGCCCGGAGCCCGGCCGCTAGGCGCGGCTTCACTCCCTTCTCAGGGGGGTGCGCACCCCCGTGGGGGGCGCTATGGCTTCTGCAGGGGGCGGAAGGGCTGATGCTCTGAGATGGAGGCGGCTCGTTCGCCCCCGGGAAGGAAGGCGTGGGCGACGCAGAGGCGCTGTCATCGGCTGGTCCTTTTCTCCCCGGAGACGGACTGTCCGAGGCCGCTGCTTCCAGTGGCTCATGGGCTGCAGGCCAGCTCTTGGGGACCCGTAACCCCGTGTCCGTGTGCGGGGCCCCAAGGGTTGGATGAGGTGGTGTGTTGGGGATCCCTCTCTTTGGAGAGCCCTTAGGGGGCCCCGGGGCCATCACGGCCAATGAGCTGCAGGGGGTGTACGTGGGGCATCTGGTTTGCACCCCCGTGTCTCGGGGAACCAGGGGGTGAGCGAGGAGGGGCTTCTGGAAGGCCACGGAAGGTTTCCTCCCCAGCGCTTCTGTGTGGCTGGAGGAGATGGCAGGCGCGGAGGATCCTTTCAGGAGGGGAGCCCTGAGGGCAGCCCGTGCAGCTTCGATGGAGGCCCTGGCTTCAGGCCGGGCGGCGGGGGCCGGCGGCCCACAGTCATACCGGGGCCTGAGGAGCAGGGACACCGACCTACCCGGAGGGGGCGGCGGGGGAGGGGATGTAGGCCCCGGGCAGGGCTTGTCCCTCGGGAGGGGCTCTCCGTGGCCCCCGGGCCCCCCGAGGGGCGCTGACGGCTGGCTCGTAGGGCCCTGGGCCCCCTCCCTCCGGCGGGGCGCTTGGGAGCCGCGCTTTGCCGAGTGGGCGTCGGGCTGCAGGTCAGCAGGGGGCGCGGGACCCTCGGCCCTCCTGCCGCGGGGCAGCCTCCCTGGAGCCGGGGCCGGCGCCTTCTCGGGGGTCATGGGGCCCGAGGAGGGCCCCCTCCTGCAGGCCTCAGGCTCCGTGGGTTTGGGCTTCTGCGGGGAGGGCTTGCCCCTGGAGGGGATTTTGCTCAGACTAGGCTTCAGGTGGAGGCCCACGGCTCCCGGGGACCTGCAGGTCCTCTGGCCGGTGCTCCGCGTGGGTCCGACCAGCTTCTGTCTCTGAATGTTTGGCGGTGCCATCGTCCTGGGGCTGAGGGGCCCGGCGGCAGGTGCCTCGGGGACCAGGAGGGTCCCCACGCCGCCCCTTGGGCCCCCCGGGATGCTGCAGGCTGCCACCCCCGCGGGCCCCTCTGCAGAGGTGAAGGCGGGGCCGCGGGCAGCTCCGGGCTGGAGGCCAGCGGGTCCCGGGCGCTGGGCCTGGGCGATGGAGACCTCGTTCCTGGTGACAGTGACCACCCCGGTCTGCTGGGAACTGAACTCGATGGGCTCGCCGTCCTCCGCGTCGTAGATGACCGTCATGCACTCCTCCGAGGACGTCCTCCGCACCACGCGCTGCTGCCGCAGGAAGCCCAAGGTCCGCGGCCTCTCCGGGCGGCCGGGCGCCTGGTCCCCCTCCCCGGGGGGCTCCAGCGGAGGTCTCCTCCCAAGCCCCACCGGGGCATCCAGGTTCTCCGTGGACTTGTCGGTGTCGGTGGCCAGTGACAGGTCCGAGGGGCTCTTCTCGTCGCTGCTCCCGATGTGCAGCTCGTCCAGGGTGTCGTTGTCGTCGGTGTCTGAGAGCTGGAGGCTGACGGCCACATGGCCCCGGCTGCTGGGACCCCCCTCTCTCTGTCCCTTGGGCGCCTGCTTCCTCTCCGGGGAGCAGCCGCTGGCACAGCTGCTCAGCTTTTCGGGTCTCTCTCCGGGGTAGACAGAGGGGCCTTCGGAAAGGTGACTTCCCTGCAGCTCCCAGCTAAACAGACTGTCGGAGACGCTGTGGGTCAGCTTGCAGCCGTGCAGTCTGCAGGCCTGGCTGGGAAGGGCGTGGGTCCATGCGAAGGCGGAAGGGTCCTCGTTGGGGTCGTCGTGGGAATCTGTGTCATAAACAAATGCCTGGAGGGGCTCCCTGCAGCCGCCCCCCAGGTCCGCTGTTTTGCAGGGGGCATGCTCCTTGGGGCTGCTCTTAATTCCTGGAGAATATATTCCTTCGTTGGAGTTCATGCAATCTTTGTAGCCCCATTTGGTTATCACTGAGGGGGGTTCAAGTAACACTCTCCGCTTTTGCAGCTTCCTCAGTCCTTCCAGAATGTGGCTTTCCTTGATACGGGTCGTTGGAGGTAGTTCATCGGTAGGACTAGCAAAGCCGCTCGGGAGGGAGGAGCCAATACTTAGCCTTTTATCCCAGTTTTGTGAAGATGGCTAGGAAAGAAAAGCAGAGGTCAGAGAGGATGGAGTCGTGGGGATCACACTTTTATAACAGAAGGCCATCACTGAACTTCCTGTGTTCTAGTGGTTGATAAATGTTCACAATAAATGCATACATTAATTAATTAATTAATGCAACTTAATTAACTGGGAAGCAGATTTCTTCTTCGCCAGGTTCTGAGCTAAGCAGTATGTAATTTAAAGAAGAAGAGAATAAGGACCTGCCCTCAAGAAGCATGCACCAGCAGAGAAGAGGACCTGAGCACGAATGGGTGCTCTAGAAATTCAGGGAAGAGGGACCATATGTCTGTTTGGAAAAACCTCAAAAATCACATAAGGAAAGATGTTACTTTTTTAAAAACCTACCTAGCCATTGAAAGATGGCAAGGTTTGCTTTAGTTTAAAAATGGGGAGAATCATTTCCAGAAGAAATGTAATAGCAAGGACCCAAACTGGGAAGTAAGTTTAAGGTACATGTAGGGAATAACCAAAGACAATATGGCCTCAGGTACATGAGAGGTAGAGGATAAATGGAAAAGTAAGTTAGCCTATGTCTATGAAACCTTCCATTCTAACACTGGATGGTTACTTCATGTGACTTCATGACTTTGACAGGAAGGGGACCCCCGGAAAACACACCCACACAGAGAGCAGTGGGCAGCTGCTATTAGAACCCACAGTGATGATTTACCTACTAACTGAGAAAAGTCCATTTCTCTTTTTTTAATTTATTTTATTTTATTTTTTTAATATAGTTTATTGATTTTTCACAGAGAGATGGATAGAGAGCTAGAAACATCGATGACAAAGAAAGATTGACCAGCTGCCTCCTGCACGCCCCCTACTGGGGTCATGCCCGCAACCAATGTACATGCCTTTTGACCGGAATCGAACCCGAGACTTTCCAGTCCGCAGACGGATGCTCTATCCACTGAGCCAAACCGGGTTTCGGCTGAAAGTCCATTTCTTGTCCTCGGACATTACCCAATACTAGAGTTAGTTTTGGAGAAGTGACCAAGAAATGACATAGAAAAAACATGCTGCATTCCACACAGACACTGATGTTTGTTTATAGTATTGCTAACAGGAAATGGAAGGGCAGAGGAGGAAACTAACCTGGCTAAGCACCTGTTGTGGACCAGCCACATACATGGCACTCTGACTTAATTTTCAGAACAACCCCATGAAGAAAACATTACCATCCGTTTGCTAGGGAGGAACCTGAGGTTCAGCAAAAGGGTCTGTTGGAAATCACACAGCTAACAAAGAGCTGGTTGCAAGGGTGTGAACTCTAGTTTGCTGGGTTCTTCCTACGACTGACTTCCAAAGTGGCCAGTGGGACTTTGAACCCAGGCAATGGGGCTCCTGGGGCTTGTACAACTTCATCTGGATGCCGGAGTCAAGCTCAGCTTCTCTCCTCCCCTCTGTATCAGTCGATGCCATGATGGAGATCACAGGTTACTGCCTCACCTGTCTCCAATGGCACTTGCAGTTTAATCACAAGCCAGCACGCTGGAGACCTGGTGGGATGTGGGCACTGACCTAATGCCTTTTTTTAAGGCTATAAAATTAATGGTGAAGAATTTCGCCATTAATTCTTCTTGACAAAGAGTGCAGTTACCATTGGCATCTCCACACCAACTGACCTCCGTCCCATAACTCTCAACACAAACCATGCGCTCATAAGCAGAGGTTGAAAATGCGTCAGACTCTTACACTGGAATCTCAGCTTTTCAATAAGCTGTGAACATTTATTTACATCTAAGAGATTTTCATAAAAAATTACTCTAGCTATCAACAATATATATTGTTTATCTGTTTTATTTGTTATTTTCTTTTTTTTTTAAATCCTTATTGTTGAAAGTATTACATATGTCCCCCTTTTCCCCACTACTGATTTCTACCACTCCTCTTCCCACTCCTCAGGCATTCACTACCCTATTGTCTGTATCTATATATGCATATGAGTTCATTGTTTGATCTCCCTCCCACACCCTCCCCTCCTCTGCTTTCCTTCTGAGGTTTGACAGTCTGTTTGATGTTTATTTTGTCTCTGGGTCTATTTTTTTCATCAGTTTATGTTGTTCATTAGATTCCATGTATGATTGAGATCGTGTGATACTTATCTTTCCCTGACTGGCTTATTTGGCTTAGCATAATGCGCTATAGCATGTTTTCTTTAAAAAATTCTTCAGGGTAATAAGTGCTGCTGATAGATGCTCTTTGGTGATGCTTCACCTCTACCCTCCTCTTCCCCTGCACCATTAAAAGCTCCTTCGGGAATCAGAAGAAATCCTGTCAGTGAGTTTGGGTATTATAGACCACCCAGTGAGCGGACTGCCACAGCTTGGCTTTCTGAGAATGTCCACGGTCTCCACAGTCACATTCACAGTAAAGGAGAGAAGACAGGCTCAAAGCACCCTGCAAGAGCTTGAAAAAACTGCTTTGTTCAACCCATAAAAGATTTGCTCAGCCTCTGGCCATCGCACCTCCCTCCGCCTCTCCAGAGCCTTCCATGCTGTGGTTTAATTCCTCCACAGCCAGTGGCTGCAAACCTCCCAGGGCCCAGGATCTCTGTCCAGTGAGATTGGCCGCATTCCTCCATCAGCTGTGCACAGGAGGTTATGGTACTCAATAATGTGAGAAAAGTTTGGAACAATTTGGAAACTTGAAAAAAGAAAAAAGTATGAATTCCCACGGGAGGGACCATGGGTGAAGCTGGCACTTCCCACTGGCAGCTTCGTTCTTTGCAGTTGCTCTGGGAGCAGTTGGCTGAAAATGCTGCTGAAGCAGGGGCTTGGGTTTAATTCACAGTCCTTTTTCTTGACTGGACTACAGTTGTGCACATTTTTAAAAGGACATTATTGGTCTTATTGGGAACAAATCCATCCCAACAGTTGGAACAACTCCTCCAAGTTTTAGGCTGATTTAACAAGGCTGGTATAGCTGAGAGGTTAAGATTGAAGGTTCTGGAATCAACAGCCAGCTCTGCTACTTACTAGCTATGAGATCTTGGTCTATTTCCTTAATTTCCCAGCATCTCAGTTTCCTCATCTATAAAACGGGGGAGTGGAAAGTGCTCTTTAATAAGCTGTCCTGAACATTAAATCATTAGGAAGTTCTGACAAAACTGTGTGGTACATGGTAGTTACTCATTAGTGAGGCCAAATTGCTCCATGGAAGGCAGGCTGAGTATTTCATGCAGGCTTTCTTTTTGTTTCTAAACAAAACAGTACTAAAAAGGTATATAAGAGCCATTGGCTATATATTTATTCATATGTTAGTTAATATTGTATTCACATTTAAATTCATATTATATGATGCCATACTGCCTGAGTCAAGTTTATATATGTTAATACTAAATGAGTACCTGGCACACAGTAAGAACTTAGAAGTTCTGTAAGTAATATGAATTTGAGCTGTCATTGCAAGACTGTGTCTAGCTGGCTGGGTCCCTGAGAACAGGGACTTTTCTCTGTGAGTGTGACAGGTGTGCTGGTGCACCATGGCCATTCTGAGATGGGACCTGGAATCTCTAAGTCATGGCCACCTGAGTGTGCATGAAGTGTCCTAAGAACTTTATTGCTCCGTTTTCTGGAAAGAGGTTTCCCTAGAAGATGAAAGAGTGTTCTAATTGGAAGAATTTCAGCCAAAGGCAGAAAGAAAATAAGAAAAAAAGACCCTGAGAGGGAGAAAAAGGCCGAGTGTGAGGGCAAAACAGCAGAGCCAGGAGTGCTGGGAGCCAGTGACAAAGAGAGGGGACATCCCTGACCATCTTCCCAGCTGGCTGAGAGCCAGGCATGAGCAGTCATTATTCACAACTCAAACATCTCCTTCAAGGGAACAGTTTTGATAACAGTTTTCTCACTTTGAGTTAGAAGTCTGAGTCCAAGGGAATAAGCCCTACATTCTGGTTTAAAATCCTTCCCCAAGTTATTGTTCAGGGTATGACGAAGTTACCCCTCACCAATATTTTCTGGAAGCTAATGGAATTTTGTGGTTTCCATGCTTCTGAAATTGTAAACTTAATTTATAAGAATCATAAAAAAATGACCTCCAAACAGTCTGATTTGGGGTTTCTATTCTCATTTACTCTTGGCTTTTCTTCAGGATTAGGAAACTGCAAAAACAGCTATTTCCAACACTTGGCTCTCACCACTGTGCAAAGATATCTGTAAAAAGCATGAAGGAATCTCCAGCTGCGTGAGCCCACTTTGCAGGTGGGACTCATTACAACAGGAGAGTTATTTGCAAGCCCACTAAAGGGACTCCCAGCATCAAAACAGGGACATGGCGACCTTCTCTGAGCCCTGGTGCTGGTCATCTATCACGGTATTTTCTTTCTCTGTCATGCTGCCCTCCAATTAGTTGTGTGCATTCTGGCAAGTAACTTATCCTTGTGTGGGCCTGGTTCTGCTGCCTCATAACGGGGACGCCATTATCCCCCTACAGAGTTTTTGTGAAGAGTGAATTAACAGGTACTCAGAAAAATGGTCATTTCCTTCTTAGCCCTACCTCCCGCCTTCCTTCTAGAAGGTAATTTTCTGGTTCACTGGAAGGCGTGCCTGGAAAGGAGCCTTACCTTTTTCCTGAGGTTCTTCCCATCGTGCCACGTGCAGGAGGAGCCGCTGGAGTACTCGCTGCAGGTGCTGGAAAGGGACAGCTCGCTGCTGCTGCAGCGACTGCGGGGACAGAGGTGACCAGGGAGGGCAACCCCCGAGCTGGGGCCTTTCAAGGCAGGGGCTCCTGGCTTGGCGCTCAGCTGGCATTCCTGAAAAAGGAGGAAAGCTCCGAGCTGGGGCTTGGCTCAGGGGACAGGAAATACAACTCAAGCTCCTAGTGAGGCAGAAGTGAACAGCAAATCAATCTCTCAGAGCTACAGTTTTCTTTTTAAAAAGCAAATCATGACAGTACTGCCTGCCTTCTAGGTTTTACTGCAGGGACCAGCCCAGCCGGGGTGCTAGCTGGGAGGCATATGGCGCAATATATGGCATATTAGGTAGTGTCTGATTATTGAGAGCTACTGTCCTCATTAGGTAAAGGGTCACAATGGAAGTTTCCCATTTTATCTAGTCAGGCTGGTTAAGGAAGCAGACCAGAATCAAAACATGACTCTAATGCTACAAAAGGAAGAAACCAGAGTCATGTCTTTGGCTGGAGTTTAAGAACATGAGCCCTGGCCTAGGAGCCTAGCACCTGATGCACACTGCCCCAGATAGGAGAGCTTGAGCAGGTAAAAAAGCTGACTCCCACAGCCTCCATGGACCTTGTAGAGTGGGGCACTTCTGCCAGATTACCCTGTGCCCCCTTCCGGCTCTGATGCCTCATGCTAAGTCAGGAATCCGATGCCAGGACATCTCTGTGCCACCTTCTAGGAGGCCATGCACAGTGCAACACCAGCCTCAGGACTAATGAGGTTCTGAAAGATAACGGGATTTTCATATCAGTTGGCTGTCCAAACAGCAAAGGCTGTCTCACCAAATAGATCTGGTACCCATGCCGAAGACCCAGGTGATTCAGGTTCTAGTGGGTGTGCATAGGGCATGAGTGACCCAAGTTGTAAACATCCCAGCTCTTCTTCACAGCTCTATGGGCCCCTCATGTAACAGATGAAGCAACACAAACTGGACAGGCTAAATTAATTGAGCACCCGGCAATGGGAATGGACTCTCTCCATTACCATCTCATTCTGCTCTCCTATCTACGTAAAGCTTTGTCTCTGGAACACTTAGAGGGGGGACCATCTGTCTTTGTGTCAGCTGCAGAATGGCAAAGCCACTTAAGTATGCAATTTATTGACACTTTGTAGGTGCCTTTAGTACCCGAGTACTTATCAGTTTCCTCCAAATGCAATTCTAACTGACGGTGACTAAACACCGGCTCGGGGAGTGAAGAGAATGCTGTACTGGGCATACTTGTGGTGAATCTGAAACCCCTACCTACGTACAGAGGACCCGTCTAATTTGCTGCCTAATCAATATCCATAACGCTTAATCATGCTAGATTTCCACTGTTAGGCAACTCCCTTGCTATCAATACTTCATTTTTGCGGCATAACAATCTCTTTAAGTGATCTTAAAATGACCAAAAAAATATTGTACGACTCTACTTCACCCCCCAGGAATTGGACTGTAAATATCAATTAAAGGAAAAACTTGTCTTAAACTCTGGCTTTTAATAAGATCTATTGATATGACCTTGTTTATTGCTGGATGTGACTTAAGGTGAGTTCATATTTATATCTCAACCAATGCGTCCAACCATGGTCTTACTGCACAGACGCACCCGGTGTCTGGCTTCGGGACTGCGGCCACGTGGACACCCTGAAGGGCCCCTTGGAAATACCATAGAGCACATGTGTCAAACACAAGGCCCGCGGGCCAAATCCGTCCCGCCAGGCCTTGCAATGTGGCCCACACCACGCTGTCATCACTGCACTCCGCTGCGTTTCCATCACAATGACAGTTTATGACTGTTCAGTAAACCATTCGGCCCGCGATTTAGGCTGGATTTTAGATTTTGGCCCCTTCTCTGATTGAGTTCGACACCCCTACCATAGAGCATCGCTTCTGCGGCGTGCTTCCTGTGTTCTTATTCTGTTCTCTCATATTTGGTTGCCTGAGTAAGCATGTGAGGCTTGCTCTGGACTAGCTTTGCTCTGACAGATGCATGTTGCAAGGCCACCTGACCTAAGCCTCTCCAATGGCCCTTGTCATACTCTGCACGGCTTCGTTACAGTTTATATTCCACCTTTTCCCAAGGTGTTGAAACTTATATTTCCCACCTACCCCTTCCCAATACACTTATCAGCATTATTGTTATTGCAGCCTCACTCCATTCCTAGCCTCTTTTAACAAGGGCGCATTCCTGCCCAGTTGTTGCCCATGTGTGCACCATGGCTTAGCTGCTGGATTATTCAGATGACAGGAAGTTAGAGGAAGGTGAGCTGAAGGAGGGAGAATGGCTGCTTCTCCCTTGACCTTGAACTTCAGATGTCAAGATGTGACAGGAGATTATCTAGGAGGTGGGAAAGGCCCATCAATGTCATGGAAGCATGTGGGGTTGGGTGGTTAAGCAGAGACGTATCCTCCAAGCCAGGCTTTTACACTTTAATGTGGATGTGAATCATCCAGGGTCTGTTTAATACAGATTCTCATTCATTCTGAGGTGGGACCTGAGCTGAGTACCTCGATGCTGCTGGCCCAGGCTCTGAGCCTTGTGTTGAAAGCCCGTAGGAGCAGCTGTGAGAACGGTTTACTTAGTCTGTGGACTTCATGGTAGCGTGTTGTGTGATCTCACAGTCCAACCTGGGCCAAGCTGAGCAGGACCAAAGGTATGGCTATGGGCAGTGAAATGGGGAGTGTGTGTGTGTGTGTGTGTGTGTGAGTGAGAGAGAGAGAGAGAGAGAGAGAGAGAGAGAGAGAGAGAGAGAGAGAGAGACTATAGAGTAATTCCCTGCAAAAAAAGAGGAAGCAGCTAGCCCTCCCTACTGGGAACTCTCCCACCATTCTCCCACCTTAGACAATCCATGTTTGAATTTAAAAAGGACTCAGACTCTCTGACATCACAGCTGTGAAGCGAGCTCTTCTTCCTGCAATTCCTCTCTTCACAGTACATGATTATCATATAGGACTATCTACTCTATTGAGTCACTGTTCTGTGATTGAGCGCTTGAAGTCGGAGGCAATTTGTTTTGTTTAAATCTTGGCTATTCCACTTGCTAATTTTGAGGTTAGGAAAATGACTTAACTCATCCATGCTTCAGTCTCTTTCTCCATAAGAGGAGAGAATGAAAACACACCCTACATAAGATTACTGTTAATTTTGAACAACTTCTAGTGTATACCAATGCTTAGTAACTTTTAGGTGTTGCTACTATTATTAAAAACTGTTTTTGAAATACTATCTTGGCTCTTTAAATCATTAATTTAGAGCCTCCTTCAGGGGCCCTGGATGATACTTCTTGACAGGCCATCATTGTCTGACACCTTGCATGCAGGAGCCGTGATGAGCAACAGCCAACAGAAGGTATGTTTTGTTTCCAGGGATCACTGATGTGAGCTGCCAGAGGACACGCTAGTAAATACCATCCTCAGTTATCAGTCTCCATCTCTGCCATGTTATTGTGTAGCTGTGGCATGGTGCCATATTCTTTTGAAGCACAGGAGAGGGCTAAAGCAGCAGAGAGCTTATTATTGACACTATTGTTAACAGGTAATATGTTAAGTACATTTCATATATTATCTCATGTAATCCTCACCACAATCCTCAGGAAAACAAACAAACACCAGCCATCATTAGGCTCATTTTTGGATGGGGAAACTGAGGCGGTGAGGTGTCAATATCTAAGGGCACCCTGCCAACATGATGCTGATATCAGACCCAGGTCATAGCCACTATGCTATAGTAAGGCCCTAACAACAGCAGACCTCCTGGACATATATACCAGATATCTTACTGAGAAGAGTTATAATTTGTAATAGAAGATGATAATTATTAAAATTCTTCTTTAAAAAAATGTATACTGGCTTCCACTGCAACATTATCTTACTTTGATTTACTTGGCAAAATACACCCCATTTGCACTATTCAAAGTATATTTTAGACTACTATCTTGAATCACTCATGTGTTTTAACATCCTTCCTTACTGGGAAAAATGCGATACAAAATCCACAATTTTAGGTAAGAAAAAGATAGAGAGAATGAAGGCAAGAGTTCCTTGGATAGAAACTGCACACTTAAAATATTCCTGACCTTAAGGCCATATTACAGATAGGATGCCATTAAGATATTCATAAATATTTAAAGTGATAGAATTCCACTAAAATTTCACTTCAATCTAACTTGAGAACATTTACTTTTGATAAAGGATATCCTATCCATCCTTATAAATATTATACAGTAAAATAAAAAAGCCAGTTATTCACAATGTTCATCTGTCATTGTTTTAAGCAAAAGATTTTTCCATATATATTTATTTGGCTGTGGGTTTTTTCTTTCAAGCTACTTTTTTTTTTTTTTTAGGTCAATGATACTTAAAAGCCATGCTGGTTAAAGTTTTGCCAAATAAGCACAAAGCTCATCCTTGCTGAAGAAAAAATTGTACAGCCCATGAATTTTTAAAAGTTCATACATAATATATCATGAAAGGAGGATGACTAATATGGAACACGGGCTTTAATAAAAAGCTCCTTGACCATTTCTCAGAGACTCTGAGATGTAATCAATACCCCAAAAGGTATCCTGGGGACAAAGCCAAGATTTATGATATTTTTGCCTGGAGTGACACTTTCGGCTCCTTCTCTCGGCGGGGGGCCGTGAGACTGAGTTTCAGAGATCACAGGAAAGCATTTTGTCTGCCTGACAAAGCTTCAGCGAGGCACACAGTGGTTCCCTCACGACATTGAACTTGATGGAGGAGAAACAGCCTCCTAAACAAGCGTTCTGAAGGCGCCGGGAAACTCACGTGCGTCTCGGCATCGCTCCGTGTCTGTGTCAGACTCCGGCTCCTTTCCACCTCTGCTAGCAGATCTCCGGATGAAAGATGTAAGATGCGTGAGTGAAGTTTCTAGGTGAAAGCAAGCAGAAACATGGGATCGTGATGATTTAATTCTCCGTTCCAAAACCCTGCCTTGGACAGGTAAATCTCAAAAGAGTTGACACATCTCAATTGGATAATACATATCCTGACTCCAAAGAGTTTATTCTAGTTCACTGGTGTTCTATATACATGGGTGCGCAAATTACAGCTTATCAAGAACAATCACACTTTCACAGTCTGTCAGTCTGTGATGGAAAATAAGCTGCAGGGGGAAAACAAAACAACAAGTAGTGGCTGGAAAATAAGTAGTAAGAGAACTGCAACACCCCAATACACTCACTGGTGTGAAAATTAACTTTTGGTATTCACATGAAAACACAATCACCACGTTAACCTCATTATGTTGAGCAGTGGTTAAAATCTGAGCAAATGGTTATAAAAGTGACCTTATTTCTAAATAGCATTGATCTTGTGAAATCTTCCCGTGGACACATTTTAACTCAAAGTCATTAATGTCATCTGTTAGGAACAATTAATGTGAATGGAAAATAATTGCATCGGGGACCTGGGGACTCAGATTTTGGGGCATTAATATTCACACGCTACTTGATAATATGCTCCATTCTTTATTTCGGCTCTGCTTGGGAGGCCTGCTAAACCAGGGACATTTCACTATATTAATCTTTTTACTAATTACTGAGGCTTTTCTGTGGACATTAAATTTGATCTGCTTAATTGCAAATACAATATAACCTGTGATTTATGTCTAATGTTTCTGCTAGCTGCTGACATTTTTAAAATGGTACGTGCAGCCTGGCTTCTCTTGGTTACAACTTTTGTGACTTCGGACAGTAAAAACTTCTAATCGAGTGAGTAAATAATGGGGCTAAGCTTGTCTCCCAGGCCCCCCCCCCTGCCGCCCCCCCCCCAACCCTGAAAAGCTTTCCTCTTCCTGGTCCTCCCCGGAAGGCCTCGCTGCACACTGATGCTGATCAGGAAATGACTGAGATTCCCTGTCACTAATTAATGATAGGGTTTCTTTGGAGTGCAGGGGCTGTCACACGAGTCACTCTGTCCCAGGAGAGCCATCCCGTTGTCAGCATGGACAGCAAACCCCACTACAAGGAGACACATTCGCTCTGTTCCCCAGCTGACCCCCTGGGGCTGAGCTGGGTGAGGGCCTCTGTGGGAGGAGGTACTGCTCCCTCTGCAGGAGCGAAGGCATTTTCTCTGCGAGGGAGCTGTTCTCAGGGCAGCTTGCTCACTCTTGCTTCTTTCAGCCCATGTTGGTGGAGTTTATTTCACCAAAAGGGCACAAGTCCTGCCAAAAATGGTTTGGCTCAGTGGATAGAGCGTCGGCCTGCAGACTGAAAGGTTCCAGGTTCAATTCTGGTCAAGAGCATGTACCTTGGTTGCGGGCACATCCCCAGAAGGGGGTGTGCAAGAGGCAGCTGATCGATGATTCTCTCTCATCAATGTTTCTAACTCTCTATCCCTCTCTCTTCCTCTCTGTAAAAAATCAATAAAATATATTTTAAAAAAAAAAGACAAGAAAAAAAAACATTTAAAAAAGGGCACAAGTCCTAAACTGGTTGCCTACTATGTTGAAAAATCTAATTTCTCCAATAAAGCTAAGACATCGGTAGGTAACTAGGACCAGGATGTTGTTTCTGCCCAATTTTTATAGTCCTTACCTCAAGCTCCCTGTACAATCTGAGTTTTCTGGGGGCACAGATTATCTAATCCCCAGGACTTGTCACAATGTGTAATATTCAGTAAGTACCCCCAGATGCTTATTGTACTCCATGAAGAAAAAAGATGGCTTTATATTTCCCCCACCAACATGTAAGTTTCAAAGATTGGGAAAGTGCCCAAAGAATTATAATGTTCCGAAACCTAAAAGAATACATTTATCATCAATATGCAAACAGTCCAAGAAGTTATGGGAAATGACATTCAACCAAAAATAATGAATCTGAGTGGTACATCATGTGATTTGAGGGAAGTGTCCTTATAGATTAGTTATTTGACTTCTCATTCAGTTCATGGTTACACTTCACTCTTTCTTATCAGATATGATGTCATCCTTTGCTTTCTGCATGAATATGTGTGTGTATAAAGCCATCCTCCTAAATGAAGCTACATTTCAGCAGTTATTATCCAAATGGCCAGTTTCCTCCACAGATATAGGTACGGTCACGTTGAAAAGATAACAGATCCTAGGGCAAGGGGCCAGGCGCCTTGAGTTCCAGCCCTGTCTGAGGCATAGGTTTGCCCAGATCTTGAGACTGCAACTGCTCATCTCCATCTCAGATTCCTCACCTGTAATGGAGGGATGGAGGTGGCCACCTGACCTGCTGCATAGGGAGGCAGAGGTATAGCCATGGACAGAAAGGATAATAAATAAAACAGTATGCTGAAATTCATACAGCCTCGTATCCATTAATTGCTATAACTCAGAGTGGGCGGTAGTTAATTTCTTAAAGGCTCAAGGTACAAATGAATCATTTGTTGTTATGGTTTCCTGATATGTAAGGCAAATAAAAATGGTCTTAGAAAATAAATCTACCTCTCTGTTAAAGCAGTGGGCAAGAAAATGGTAGGTAAACATTGTTCTTTCACACAATGTCCCTTAAGTAGCCACAAAACTAATAAGCCCATAAATGTTACACTTCTTATGAAAAGAATTTTAATGAAAGGCTACACTTCCACATGTATATGTATATGTAATATTATAATAAACTCTATTCTCCTGGACAGAGGAAGAGAGCCAGAGAGAGTCCAAGGGCAGAGAGCAAGTGCATGGCTTTCAAACTGGCACCGTGATGTCATTGGATTAATTTGGATCTCAGGGAAAAGTAGATAGAATATAAATATGGGAAATACAATCAAAGCAGTATCTTTTTGGATCTGTCTACTTGGGCAAGGGAAACAAAAGCAAAAATAAACAAATGGAACTATATTAAAATGACAATCTTGTGCACAGCAAAGGAAAACCATCAAGAAAACAAAAAGACAGTTCACTGAATGGGAGAAGGTATTTGCAAATGATGTATCTGATAAGGGATATCCAAAATATATCAGGAACTCACATAACTAAGCATAAAACAACAACAACAAATAACCTGATTAAAATTTGGGCAAAGGACCTGAACAGACATTTCTCCAAAGAAGACATACGGATGGCCAACAGTCATGAAAAGATGCTCAACATCACTAATCATCAGAGAGATGCAATTCAAAACCACAGTGAGGTACCACTCACACCTGTCAGAATGGCCATCATCCAAAAGTCAACAAACAGCAAGTGCTGGAGAGGATCTAGAGGAAAGGGAATCCTTGTGCACTATTAGTGGAAGTGCAAATTGGTGCATCCACTGTGGAAAACAGTGTGGAGGTTCCTCAAACAATTAAAAATCATCTCCCTAGGACACACCCCTATGTTTACTGCAGCATTATTTACAAAAGCAAGGTATGAAAGTAACCTAAGGTGTCCATTTAAAAATTGATAAAGATGTGACACGTATACAATGAAATATTAATCCTAAAAAATGATATCTTGCCATTTGTGACAACATGGATGAACCTGGAGGGTATTATGGTAAGTGAAGTAACTCAGACAAAGAAAAATGCTGTATAATTTCACTTAAATGTAGAATAAATAACCCCAACAAAACAAAGCAGAAATAGACTCATAGAACAAACTAATGCTTGCCAGAGGGGAGGGTGGGGGGTAAGTGAAAAAGGTGAAGAGAAATATGAGGTACAAATTTCTAGTTATAAAATAAGTAAGCCACAGGTATGTAGTCTACAGCACAGTGAATACCATCAATAATATTGTAATAACTTTGTATGGTGACAGATGGTTACTAGACTTACTGTGGAGACCACTTCATAAGGAATATAAATGTTGAATCATTACATTATACACCTGAAACTGTATAATATTGTATGCCAAATATACTTGAATAAAAAATGTTAAGTTCTTTTAGGAAGTATAACTGACAGGAGAATACCATGACTTCTTTTTTAAAAAGCCCACCTGCTTAAAGGACAAATTCTGTATCACACACCTGTCTATAGTTCATGTTTACTTTTAGTGTCTACTGGGATCAAACCTCTCACCTGCAATACTCCAAACTTGAAGTCTTTGACCTGTGAGTCTGGGCAAATCCTGGATTTAGATATGATTTTTTAAATGCTTTAGACGTGGAGGTAGCAAGATTATTCAGTATAGGTCTGAAATTGACCTCACAGCCTCTTTTACATTATCTCAGTGACTGAGATTGCACTTGATCTTAGAAAGAGACACATCTCCAAAACCAGAGGTCAGCGCCATCTTTTAGCTCAAATGCTTTCTTTGATGATGAAAGCTTTTGCCTCCTTTCTTGCCAGACAGGTTTCCTTGTTTCCGGAATGATCCCCTCTCACTTCTGTGCATTTGCTTTTGTCTTTCTCCCCATGCCTCACTCTCCCTGCTCCTCGTACTGGTCTAAAACCTGCCCCCTTTCGGGACTGCACTGACACCCCACTTGTAAGGAAGTCTGTCATCCCCAGCGACAGTGCATTCCTCACGCAGCTGGTACAGCTCTCCCCAGTTTGGCCCTTTATCTGAAGTGCACTAGTGCAGAACTGCTCCTGTAGGTAGGGCCTATTTTCCCAACAGGGTGATCAGCTCTATGAAAATGCCGGTCACACCCTATATTTCTGCACTTTCTCTGGGGCAGGGTCTGGCTAGTTGTCAGGGAACCTATTCCCTCTTGCAGGCATTCGGCTTCACTGTCTCTCCCAGCCTCCTTTGCAGTTAGGTGTGGCCATATGACCTCATGATTCTAGCCAATGGAGTGTGAGCAAAAGTGATGTTTGTCCTGGCCCCTGAGTATCTCCAGCATGCGGTGCTGCAGGCTTTTCGCTTCCCACCAGCTTGATGCAGCCATTTCAGCACAGCCATCTCCATCTCCGGAGGCTGAGGGTGGCCTTAGAGATGGAGCCACCAGGTGGGAGGAGTTTAGGTCACTGAATTGTGA